TGGGACTGCTTGAGGCGCGCGGCGATGGTCTTGCGCATGCGTGTCATTTTCTCCTACAAGATTGTGAGCTTGGGATAACGTTGCTGTGGTTTGGGCGGACTTACGACTCGCTCGCCACGGGAGGGGCCGCTTGATGATCCTTGGACGGGAGGGCTGGGCTTAGACTCCTTGGGCGCGGGCTTCGATTCAGCGGGTTTTGAAGCCTTGGGAGCTTCAGCAGGAGCAGCTTGCTTCTCCTCGGCCTTGGGTTGCTCGGCGGGCTTTGACTCTTCCTTCTTAGGCTCCTCCTTAGGTTTTGACTCTTCGCCCTCGCTCTTCTGAACGGAACCAGCATCCTCGCCCGTCACGATGCGCGCGAGATCCTGTCCGACAACAACGGTATCGCCCTCCTCAGCAAAGTACTCAGCAATAGCACCAGGCTCGCTAGCATTGACAAGAACATCGATCTTGTCCGTCTCAATACTAGCAATCTCCTCATCCTGCTCAACCGCCTCGCCGATCTTCTTGGGCAAGCTAGCTAATGTTCCTTCGGTGATGGACTCTGCCATGGGCGGCACGGAGACGATATACGAGCCATTGAAGATGCTGGAGTTGCTGAAGAGTCGTCGTTGGGGATCGCGCTGGCAGAGGATGGCGCTGTGTGTGAGGCTGGCGCGGGAGATGGCGACGCGTGATAGGCCGGAGAGGCCTGTTGCGGCCTTCATGCGCATAAATGAAGCCATTGTGAGGGTTTGGGCGGGATTGAAGGTGGAAGGGATGGGGAATGATGGGATCGTGGGGAAAGGAAAACAAGTTCTGAATTAAGCGGGCCGAGCTTTGAAGGTATCGCACGGACTTGCAGTACCTTTTGGAGGTGTTTGTACGGGCAAAAGGGGATGGATCAATATTTACGGGATATTATAACTTAAACTGTTATAATGAATGCTCAATTGCTTTGTAACTTCGTGTTGCGTTGTTGAATTGCAAGTATTACAGCCAAATTGAATGTTTTGCAATACGTCACTTAGGGTGAGGTTCAATTGGACATCAGCAACTTACAAGCACTCACCTTGAACTGCGACAGCTGTGGTCGTCGAGAGCAAGAAAACTACTGATAGTGAACTAGCGTGCCAAAATAAATTGGTCTACAGGTCCCCCAAATTATCATAAATTTACCTAAATATTTTTATCATTTAGGATAGAGGTCCTAGGTTTTCTTGCCTCTCCTTTACGGCTCGGTGAGTGAACCTCTCCGTAAACTTCCTCCCGCGGGATAGGCGGAAACACCCGGACGCTCACCGGACATTGAAGCCCGACGCCAAAGTTCGTGAAGAATAACATCACGAGCAGCTCTGCTAACCACTCAGCGGAGTGATTTAAAATCGGTCAGCTTAGATCGCTTCATCGGCTTGACAACTGCAACGCCGAAAGCTCATGGCCAGAATGGGTTTGCGAATCACATAATTCCTCATTTTGGACCATGGGCTCCGTACTTTGCGGAGCAAGTTGAGCAATAGCTGCGGCAATGTTCGGCATAACGACTCCACGCCATGTTATGCCTCAGGCATGAATATTCAAACTCATGATATTTAACTCCCCAGCGCCCATGGCCTGGAGCCTGGATAATTCCGTGCAAGCGAGTGCAAATGGAATGCTAACAAGGTTGAGGCTGGCGGGCCGACACCGTTGTGCTGGTACAGAACCCAAATTCGACCGCGCATGAAGCGACACGCAGATGACACAGCATACGACACAATGGACGTTTTGCTTGACAATTAAGGTTCAGTTGGTATTTATCCAGTGGTATCTAAGGTGAAAAAAGAACTCAGCCTCGCTGATATCATATCCAAAACGCCGAGGGTCGCCGCCCTGTTTCATGCACGATCATCACGCCGTTGTACAGCAACAGCCGTCTCTTCGTCAACACGGATCCCCGTCTCACTACTCTCATAGTCCTTCGCAGATGTATATTTTCTAAAGGGGCTTGATATCGTGGTTTGTGTCCCGTGTGGCCATTCGCCTATGTCGTATAGATCTGGTGGGTTATTGGATAGTTCATGTGTTGAGCTTCCGCCGTCGTTTTCGCCGGATCGCGTCTTGGATACGCTGGTGAGGCGGATACCGTTGCTGAATGGTGCGCTGAAGGGAGCGCTGATTTGGGTTGATTGGCCGCCGCTGTTGGAGGTGAGGAATGAGCCTGGGAGGATCTTGCGGGCGACTGGTCGAAGCATGGGAAGACAAGCTGTGAAAAGTCAGTACAGGTCAAAATGGTGGTATTCAGCATGGATATACCAGCAATTACGGCAAAGTTGCACTCGGCGATTGACCAAGCGTAGTGCTGTCCCATTTGTAGCGTCATCTCTTTTGAATCCGACTTGAACTTGAATGACTCAATGAGGACGAAAATGGAGGCCAGACAGGTCATGGCACCAAACGCAAACAACGCAATGACAGCAACCTTCTGACCCCTGGGTAAATGAAGTTTTCCAACTTCGATGGCGGGCAGGATAAGAATAGCGCAGTCGATCAAGACGTGCGTCAAAACCGTCGAGAAGAAGAACGTCGATTCGCGGATATGGCATTTTGCGTCCCTCGTTGCTTGGTCTCCATCCCATAAGGCTGTGAGTGGTAGGCATTGCAAACACACCATAAAGAGTCGCAGCAGAAACCATGCCACTGTGATGCATGACAGGACTTGGATGGGGATTCGGATATCGGAGAATTGGAAGAGACGCCAGTAAAAAGCGAGGATGGCGAATTTCGAGAAGGCAATGGCAAAGGTGTAAGTGAAGCTCGTCGTCCACATATGTATCCAGGCCAGTCGGTTTTTATCGTGAAACGTAAAGTCGTCTGTAAGTCCAACCTCCATTGGCTTTCCCAGTCCATCCTTGATCCATATAATTCCATTCGTCAACAAGGCCAATGAGCCCAACTTCAGCCATGTCAGAACACATCATTTCCATTCAAGAGTTGAACATACCCAGCCAACAACGGCCAAAGCATCATCAATGCCATATCCAGCTTTCGTGATCTTCCTCGCAATAAGTCGAGCAATAAGAGCCAAGGTCGCAAGAGGAAGAGTTATGGCGGCCGAAGCAATGATATTGGGGGTATCATCCCTCATGATGCATCGTCGGTAGTATTCCTGAGGTAACAGAATGGAGTCCCCCGCAAAAAAACAACAACGATTGAGAAGCGGGAACCAGATCAAGAAGAGAGAAATGGGGAAGTATTAAAGAGTCGATGGGGCAAAAAAAGGCAGACCACCAGCTTGGTTAAGCATTTTCCCCAGACACCGACTCATGCAAAAAAAACCGGACCATGGATCCAACGGTTAGTTAGGCTTGAAACCATTTTGTAAGGGGGGGCAAGAGACGAAAAAAACGCACTATCAACGCCCCTGGCGCCCCCCACGGGGAGAACTGATGCTCATGATGATATCGACGTTGGGTCTGGGGAGTTTGAGAAACTCGACCCATTTTTGAACTCCACTGAAACAGAACGACGAGCGTTGTGATTAGACCAAGTCAGGTGCTCAATAAGACGATCTCCATTTTGACTCTTGTTTTTGGAGAATCGATATGACGATCCCAGTGGCGAAAAACTCTTCACCGCGGCAATTGAATGCTCACTGTGAGGCATTGTTCTACCCTGGTTAATGGCGCCTCATGCTGACTGTGAGCTGCCGCTTCTGGCACTGTCATGGAACCAGAATGTCACGCATTGATCGCCTGTTGCCTCGTCTTCAGCTCGGCTTCCATGGGTTCCAAGAGGCTTCAAACAACCTACCTATTCAGGCGTAGTTCACCTCGACGCTCCAGTGAACCAATGATGAGGTGAACCGCGACAACAAGATGGTGTGGGATACATACATTCACGTGCATGCATTTCAATCAGCATCATGCATTTGATAATCATCCTGTAAAAAGAAGGGTCATGCATGTCTCGCGATAGGGGTCTCGGCCCTTGCTGTAGCTTATCTCGAATTATGGATCTGTAAGCTTGGTGATAAAGCCAAGGAAGCTATTCGGACCTTTAATATCCAGGGCTGCAAATCCGCTAGGGGTTTTTAATATAAACTTGCATATTCCGAGGCTGCCGACCGGTTGGTTACTCGGTAGACAATGAGTTTGTAATCATCGCGAAAAGTTTGACTGAGAAAATTTAAGCTATGGTGATAAAAATTGGACCGTTGCAGAACTTGTAAACTCAAATGTCTCGGGGAACTTTTTCGGGATGACGCGTGCCGTTGAACTTTGAAGGTGGGATCCCGAGTCTCTGTCTGCTTACCAACGTTGTAACTTCAAGGATCAAACTGTCGAGAGGCCATGTTCTGGAGACGGACGACATGCTCCTTGGATCAGCTCAAGGTCAATGAGTTCCACTGAGCTTATCTAGTTCCACAGTCGAGACCCTGAGGAGGATCTGCTTCTTCTTCGTTCTCATTGGATATGGCCGTAAACCCGGTTCATCCCCGGTGGTGGCGCCTCACTGTTCAGCCCCGTCTTCGGCAGACGCTCTGGACCCGGGAAATTTGTTAGTGAATGGCCCAAGACATTATTCTCCGAGACGCGGCGTTCTGATGGCAGAGGACAGAAGAGGAAGAAGAAGCAAAGACAGACATGCGCTTTTTGTTGACCTGCTTTCACCACTGTTAAAAATGACCATATAAACCTCTTTACTTTATTCTGACGCTTGCAGTCAAAGTCCCAAACTCATGCAGTGGTTTTCACCAGCTTGGTATTTGAACCCCCAAGCTCCCTTTCTCGAGCTGCGAGAGACATCAGAAAATAGCTAAGCTTGCAAATTTGTTTCCTGAAAACGCTCATACGATGGGCAATAATAATAAACCATGGCACGTTCCAGGTCATTACATCCATGTTCTCACTAGGAGCATTTCAGACTGAGGCTGAACTCATCATTATACCAAGTCTCGAACGTTCTAAAATGACTAAAATGACCGAGTAAACGCCTACGCTATGCATGACCATCAAGAACATGACACGAATGCCAATAGCTCTCTATTCAGCATGTCCATTAATTCCACCCTTGATCCCCTCCAGGATTCCAGACCATTGTCCGCCATGTCGGATCTTCGTCACATCGGAGAACTGATCGCACGCAATCTTGCGCATGACAAGCGTGTCCTTTGCCTTCTTATGCGTCTTTCCATTGCCATGAAGAAGATACTCCTCGAACCAGGCCTCCTCAGATTTGTCAAAGGGCAAAAAGGTCAGTTGGCTGGCGCGCTCGGAAAGCTCGTCGTGTGGACTGTCCAATACAGAGGCGATCAATTGACGGAAGAGCAACTCGCGAGTATGGGGAGATCGGGTTCGGGAATAGAAGAGCGCTTCCGAAATGTTGGTTTTCGCCATCGCACCGAAGAGAAGCTCGAGAGCAGCTGAGGTCTTCAATTTGGGCTGCACGGTGTAAAAGTATGACAGTGCAATGCTGTAATCGCCATCCTGAGCAGACTGGACGAGCACGGTCATAATATTGTCGGCAAAGTCGGGGATCAGAGAGGGATGCGAAATGTACTCGAGCGCTCGCTGCAAAGTTATGTCAGTCTTGGTTTTGGGAATCGCAAATGCAATGCATACCGAGTATTCCTGACGATCCAGATACCACAAGCCCTTCATGAAGATCTGATATTTCTTGGGCATACCAGACGCATCCACGAATGCGTCAGAGGCGCTCTCGCGGCCTGCTGTTAGGTCGAAATCGAGAAGGATGTAGTAGAAGATCGAGAACTTGTGCTGCATTGACATTGTGGATTCACAGATTTGCTGATGCAATTGCTTCAACGCATTGTCGGTCTTGGGAGGGTAGATCTTGGCTACAATCCCGAGTCAGCACCTCGAAATCAATTCGTGAGACAAACATACCCTTTGTTATGCCCACAGCCTTTAGGACTCGATCAATGAACAGAGCGCCATCAAATTCCTTGCGCGAGTGTTCGATGTCTCGCTGGGTCTCGCGATCGTACGGGTTCGCAAGACCCTCCGCGAAGACCTCGTGCAAGTTGGTGTAGTCAAACATTTCGGCGACAGGATACTGGACTGTTGTCGTAACACAAACCAATGTTTTGATAACTCGTCAAGAGCTTCAAAGCTATCGCGAAACGGGCAATCAAGGCTCCGTCGCGAGATCACGTGATGCAAGCCGCCCCGCGGCCTGTGCTGGTACGTATTGTTTACACGACCGATTTGGACATTTCTAAACAAACCAACGCGGGGCGCAACCAATCTAATTTGTACAGCTTCCCTCGACACAACAACCCAGTCGACATTGGTTACACCGACCCAAGCTGTCGCTTATTTGTACTATTCATTGTTTGCATACACTCCTTCGCATTTTTCTCTTGTCTGTGACGAGAGTTATTCCTTCACAATGTCTTCCCCTGTCCGGCCAAGGCGCGCAACAAGGCGCACCGCCATTATCGATTCTGACGACGAAGACGATGTTTCCAACCGCTCTAGAGTCCAGGATGAGGAGGAGGACTTTGAACCTGAGAAGCCGGCGCTCCGAAGACAGACTCGGTCACGCAAATCGACGACTCCTGCGCCTGCACCTGCGCCTGCTGCTGCACCGAAAGCGAGAGGGCGTCCTAGAAAAGCGCCTGCTCCAGCTGCTTCGGCGGAGTCCAGCGAACTTCTGGATGCTGATACGACACTAAAGGCAGAGGCGAGTTCTCCTGCAAAGGTTGCGTCGCCTCGTAAGCGCAAGAGCACAGCGAGATCATCGATCTCTTCAGTTCCCGACCTGGCCCCTCCTACACCAAAGCCAGATTCACCGACAGCTTCCCAGGAAGCTTCTGCACTGGCCGATATCACTGATTCTAGTGTGAATACTTCTGTTGTCGACAATACACAGGCAACTATCAAGCCTATCAAACCCATGGACACCATTATGGAGAAGCCAATGGATATTGTGCTCAAGTCACGGACATTAGCTGTCCCTGTTGTTGAAGACACAACGCCCAAGTCTCGAATTGTTTTGACGCATCTTATACTCAACAACTTCAAGAGTTACGCAGGCCGGCAAGAAGTCGGTCCTTTCCATGCTTCATTCTCATCCGTTGTCGGACCCAACGGTTCCGGAAAGTCAAATGTTATTGACTCTCTGCTGTTCGTCTTCGGTTTCCGAGCTAGCAAGATGCGACAGGGCAAGATTTCTGCTCTCATTCACAACTCAGCAAAGTTTCCGAATTTGGATCATTGTGAGGTCGCCGTCTACTTCCAGGAGGTCATGGATCAGGTAACGAAATTCTTGTTCTTTTGCGTCACATACTGACTTTCCCAGCCCGGTGGTGGCCATGAGGTTATCCCTAACTCCGAGCTCATCATTTCCCGAAAAGCGTTCAAGAACAACTCTAGCAAATATTACATCAATGGCAAAGAATCCAACTTTACAACAGTCACCACTCTTCTTCGCGATCGGGGCGTTGATCTTGACCACAAGCGATTCTTAATTCTCCAAGGTGAGGTCGAGTCGATTGCTCAGATGAAAGCCAAGGCCGGCAATGAACACGAAGATGGCCTCCTCGAATATCTTGAGGATATCATCGGCACCTCCAAGTACAAGGCGCCCATCGAAGAATCCGCCACCGAGGTCGAGACCCTCAATGATGTCTGTATGGAAAAGAGTGGTCGCGTTCAACACGTCGAGAAGGAAAAGAACAGCCTTGAAGACAAGAAGGACAAGGCCATTGCCTACATTCGTGACGAGAACGAGCTGGCCATGAAGCAATCTGCTCTTTACCAATTGTTTCTTCACAAGTGCAATGAGAATATTGCTGTTACAGAGGAGGCAATCAGCCAGATGCAAGCTCAATTGGACGCCGAGCTGGAGAAGCATCATGGAGGTGAACAGATCATCAAGAGCCTTGAGAAGGACTACGCCAAGGGTGCTAAGGAATTCGAAACACAAGAGAAGTCAACACAAGCTTTGGTGAAGGAGATGGCCAAGTTTGAGCAGGAGCGTGTAAAGTTCGATGAGAAGCGAAAATTCTTGGACGACAAGCGTAAGAAGCTTGAGAAGGCTATCGCCAACGCCGAAACGAACTCAGCCGAAGCCGACGAGACCATTGAGCAGTGTGGAGAGGAGATCGAGAACAGGACCCAGGAGATCGCAGAGCTGGAGGAACAGATCCAGACTGCAGAGGCTGAGCTTACTCGAATTAGAGAAAGTCTCAAGGGCAAGACACAAGCTTTCTCTGATCAGATTGCCGCCAAACAGAAATCTCTTGAACCTTGGAATGAGAAGATCAACCAGAAGCAGTCCGCCGTCGCTGTCGCTGAGAGTGAGCTCAACATCCTTCAAGAAAAGGCCAACGCCGGTGCTGTCGCTCTTCAAGAACTTGAGACCAAGATCGCTTCAATTGAGGAGGGCAAGACTGCCAAGCGCGCCGAGCTCAAGTCCTGCCAGACCGAGAGGACTAAGCTTCTGGAGGAGGCAGAGAAAATGAAGTCGGAGCTCAAGGTCCTTTCTGAGCAGGAGCCCAAGATTCGCTCCAAGATCTCGAATGCGCGCCAAAAGGCTGACGAGGCTCGCTCAAGCTTGTCTAACACACAGGCGCGGGGTAACGTGCTCGCTGCCTTGATGCGCATGAAGGAGTCTGGTCGAATTGATGGCTTCCATGGACGTCTCGGTAACCTTGGCACGATTGATCAGAAGTACGATGTCGCCATCTCAACAGCTTGTGGTGCCCTCGACAACTTTGTCACTGAGACTGTCGAGGCTGGTCAGCAGTGTATCGAGTATTTGCGAAAGAACAACGTCGGACGTGGTAACTTTATCTGCTTAGACAAGCTAAGAGTCCGAGACATGTCGCCTATCCAGACACCCGAGAACGCTCCCCGATTGTTTGACCTCGTCACTGCCAAGGAAGACAAGTTCCGAGCTGCTTTTTACCATGCCATGCAAGATACTCTTGTCGCTGCCGACCTCGCCCAGGCGAACAGAATCGCATATGGTGCCAAGCGATGGCGAGTTGTCACTCTCGATGGTGAGCTCATTGACAAGTCCGGTACCATGTCTGGTGGTGGCTCAACTGTCAAGAGAGGTCTCATGTCTTCTAAGCTCGTCTCAGACGTCAGCAAGGAGCAGGTCGCCAAGTTTGAGAGTGATCGCGATGGCTGGGAGCAACAGTTCAAAGATTTCCAAGATTATCAACGCGAGTGCGAGACACGACTCAGGGAGTTGGGCGAGCTGATTCCTCAGCTGGAAACCAAGATGCAGAAGATTGCTCTTGAGATTCAGAGCGCTGAGCGAAACATCGCCGACATGCAACGACGCATGAAGGAAGTCAGCAAGGAGCACCAGCCCTCGGCCTCCGACAACAGTCGCATTGCTGCTCTGCAGAAGGAGATCGCAAAGCTCAACAAGGAGATTGAAAGACTTCACGAAGAGACATCCAGCGTGGAGGATGAGATCAAAGCTCTGCAAGACAAGATCATGGAGGTTGGTGGTGAGAAGCTTCGTGCACAAAGGGCCAAGGTCGACTCTATCAAAGAGGAGATTTCCTCCAACAACGAAGAGATCTCCAATGCTGAGGTCCGTAAGGTCAAGGCGGAGAAGCAGAAGATCAAGCTGGCGAAGGATCATGCGAAGTCGTCCAAGGAGCTTGAGGCTGCTACTCGGGATCTTGAGAAGCTTGAGAACGACATCAACAACCAGGGCGAGAGAGCTGAAGAGCTTCAGGCACAAGTTGAGGAGGCTGAAGAAGGATTGGCCGCTAAGAAGAAGGAGCTTAAGGCGCTCAAGAGCGAGCTTGACGAGAAGACGACTGAGCTCAACGAGACAAGGGCGGTTGAGATTGAGATGCGCAACAAGCTGGAGGAGAACCAGAAGGCTCTTCTTGAGAACCAAGCACGACTTCGCCACTGGGACGATAAGCTGTCGAAGATTGTTCTACAGAACATTGACGACCTTACGGGAGGCTCATCGGGCAGCCGCTCCAAGAGACCCAAGCCGCAACCCAAGCCTCAGACGGATGACGATGATGATGTCGACATGGACGATGTTCCTCAGGATGATGTCGACATGACCGACGCTCCCCAAGAAGAGGAAGAACAAGAGGACCAAGAAGAGGATGAGGATGAGGAGGAATCTGTCAATGGGCAGCCAAACGAGCTTCCGAGATACACACCCGACGAGCTCGCCGACATGAATGAGAGGACACTCAAGGGCGAGATTGCAGCTCTTGAGGAGAAGACTCAAAATGTCAACGTCGATCTCGGTGTCCTCGCTGAATACCGAAGACGAGTGGAAGAGCATGCTGCTCGTGCCTCAGATCTCCAGACTGCCATTGAACAGCGAGATTCTGCCAAGAAGCGATGCGATGACCTACGCCGTCTACGCTTGGAAGGTTTCATGGAAGGTTTCAGCGCCATTTCCCTCCGCCTCAAGGAAATGTATCAGATGATCACCATGGGTGGAAACGCAGAGCTCGAACTTGTCGACAGCTTAGATCCCTTCAGCGAAGGTATTCTCTTCAGCGTCATGCCCCCCAAGAAGAGCTGGAAGAACATCAGCAATCTTTCCGGTGGTGAAAAGACACTCAGCAGTCTAGCACTCGTCTTCGCTCTGCACCACTACAAGCCTACCCCTCTGTATGTCATGGACGAGATCGATGCTGCGCTGGATTTCAGAAACGTGAGTACTACCCTAACCCAAGACACTCGGCTACAATTCGACCACACTCGCGTGGGCATTCCACATGCGAATTGTTATCAACTCTGATTGAACCACCATGCTAACACTCAGTGCAGGTCTCGATCGTCGCAAACTACATCAAGGAGCGTACCAAGAACGCCCAGTTCATCGTCATCTCGCTGCGCAACAACATGTTTGAGCTTGCGGCGCGGTTGGTGGGCGTGTACAAGGTCAATCATATGACCAAGAGTGTCACTATTGAGAACAAGGACTACATCGCGAGACCGCCGGGACACTCGTCGCAGCAGCGCACGCAGGTTGGGGGTAATACGACGATATTGCCCTTTCGGTAATGGGTGAGAGGGTTTGTATATGACGATGATGATGACTATGGATATGGCTTTGGCTTTGGCGGTTATTTTAATGATATGGAGGCTAGATTTATGATATATCCAATGTTTGGTGTTTACTGATCTCCTTCATCTTTGACCTCTCCTGGACTCACCGATACAGAACCTCATCCGATCATGTTGTGTCCAGCTAATATTCACATGCCACGTCACTCTCACTCATCTTCCCTTACCATCTCCCAATACACCGTGAGAAAGACTCAGCCTGAACCCCGTCCTCCCCTCGTACCACACTCGCGTCCCACGATCCAGGAACCAACTCCCGTGTCACCGAGCGCGTCTAGACCTGAAGACCTAGGACATTAAGGATCCCCAAGCGAACCCCTGCAGACACCCGCCCCTTCGATCTCGCAGCCGTCGATGCCGTACCACGCACCAAGTGCCGGTCTTTCTCGGCTCTGTATGCGTGTCTTGCACGTCACGATGTCGTGTCTCGGCAGATTATACGTGGGCGGCCTCGACACTGGGATATGCCTGCTGTACGTCCTATAAGTAACGCCTACAGTCAAGCCAAGCTTTAGCTATTCTCGTTCATCGCTATACACTCGTTTACGCATCATGTTGATGCTACTCCCCCTCGTCGTTCGCTTGGTCACTGCTTTTCCTGCAAACTGGAACGAATCGATCGCTTGTCCACATGATGATCTTTACTCATCGCTCATTCAAGATGATGGCGAGTTTTGCTCGAGTGTTATTGAGGGGAATCATTGCGGTGCGGGATATAGTACGCCTGTGGAGTATGTGAGGTATAATCAGACGAGGATAGCTTCATATGTGAGTGGCTCGTGATGAGTTTGGATGATTGCTTATGAGTTGCAGTGTGAGTGTATTGTGACTAGTGCGTATTCTAGCACTACGGAGTCTAGGACGAGGGGGTATTCGGATTCGACGGAGGCATCGGTTGGGCAGCCTGGGTCGGGGACGTATGCTGAGACGACCGAAGGAGTGTATTCGACCACTGAAGGGTCGTGGAATCAGACTGCAGCGTCTGGAGGAGAAACGACGGCAAGAGAGACGACTAGAGACGCTCCGAGGACATCATACGCCAACAGCAGCAATCCAACTACAGGAACAGCCAGAGAAAGCTTCACAAGATCAGATTCAGCAGCTTCATGGAACACCACCACAGAGTCACCAGCAGATACCCAAGGTCCCTTCTCAGCATCCTCTTCAAGCCATACTTCATCTCATTCTCGATCTGGCAACGGCACCCAAAGTCTCTCGGGTGTAACATCACAAGCATCGACCCATTCATCTGGGATGACAAGATCTGGCGCTACAAGCGATTCGCTACCGTGGTCGATTCCCGGTAACTCGACGTCGAGTCCTGTGGAGAGTGGGACACGTCTGACGGGGACTTTGACGAGGTGGAACTCGAGTATTACTACCCCGAGCGGCGGTATATCTGGGACAGGGCCTATCCCTACTGTGTCGGTTCCAAGTATGTCTTTAACCACTGGTTCTGTGACAACTGGTGGGAGTGTAGGTCCAGCTTGGAACACGACTTCGGCGTCAAGGGGAAATGGCTCGATTCCAACTGTCAGTCTCTCCAGTGGAAGTTTTGTACCGTTTCCTACGGGATCGGACATCATTAGTTCTGGGAGTTCGTCGATTGGTAGCGTGGCTCCAAGTTGGAACACCACGTCTGCTTCGAGAGTCAATGGCTCAGTTCCTACAGTCAGTATCTCCAGCGGAACTTTCGTGCCCTTCCCAACAGCCTCGGTTTCTACCGTCACTGGGGCCTCGTCTAGTGGCACAACAGGGCCAAGCTGGAATGGAACTACCTCCGTCTCGATGAGCAATGGCTCAGTACCAACGATTAGTATCTCCAGTGGGACGTTCGTACCGTTCCCAACAGCCTCGGTGTCCACAAGCTCTGTCGGTTCAACAAGTGGGAGTGTAGGTCCAAGCTGGAATAGTACCACGTCGAGACGGAACAACTCAGTACCGACAGTCAGTATCTCAAGTGGCACATTCGTTCCGTTTCCAACATTGTCACTGTCAAGTCAAGCAAGCTCGGGGAGCAGCTTTGGTCCCAGCTGGAATAGCACGTCTCTTCCTTCTGGGGGAAACACGTCGGCACCGGTGACTAGTGCTTCCAGCGGAACCTCGGTGCCTTTTCCAACGACTTCAGGGGTGTTCACTTCAGGGAGCAGTGTTGGTCCGAGCTGGAACAGGACCTCTCTCCCTCCTGGTGTTAACACCTCGTTACCGACTATCAGTGCTTCGACTTCAGCGCAACCCTCTTCAGAAGATATCACTTTGGGTAGCAGCTTGGGCCCAAGTTGGAACAGCACTTCCCTCCCATCAGGTGGTAACGTATCGGTACCAGCTGTAAGCACATCGAGTGGGTCATTTGTGCCATTCCCATCGGTATCATTACCGAGTCTCTCATCCACAGCAGAGGTTACAACAGGGAGCAGTTTGTCTCCAAGTTGGAACACCACTTCTCTGCCTCCAGGTGTTAATACCTCGATACCGACTGCCAGCACCTCCAGCGGATCATTTGTCCCGTTCCCCACAGCATCACTTCCAGGTTCATCATCCTCGGAGGAAGCAGCATCAAGGAGTAGTGTCTCTCCGAGCTGGAACACAACGTCTGTGCCTCCCAGTGGTAATACCTCAGTACCAACCGTCAGTACATCCAGCGAGTCCTTCATACCGTTCCCGACGGTATCACTACCCAGTCAATCCTCGTCAGCCGAAGCAGCATCAGGCAGCAGTATCTCGCCAAGTTGGAATAACACTGCTTTACCATCTAGCGGCAACATGACAATACCAACCATCAGTATATCCCCGTCGCAAACCTTTGTCCCATTTCCAACTCAGCCATTCCCAAGCGATACTCTCACAACAGGCCCAGAGACAAGTGGAAATCAGTTCCCAAATCGGAACAGTACTACTGTACCAGGGGTTAACTTCACTATACCGTCAATCAGTATAACTCGGGGTGGGACATTACCCTTTCCGACGCTGCCACTGCCAAGTGAGTCGATCACGACTGTATCTAGGATTGAGACAACCTCAGTGCCAAGTAGCAGCGAAATTCCGGGCTGGAATGGTACCACTTCTGCGCCTGGAGGCAATGCCTCCGTCCCGACAATCAGTGTATCGCACACTGGGACATCATCGCTGGTTCCGTTCTCAAGTGTGTCTTCGCCGACCGTTTCTCAAGTAACGTCAGGGTCGGCCCGAAGTGAGACTTTGGTGTCTGGTTGGAACACAACAACTTGGGGATCTGAAGGCTCTGGTTCTGTTGCGACTGTCAGCTCCTCTGAGACTGGCTCAATTGTAACTCTTCCTACAGAGTCAGAAGCTCTTTCCAGTTCTCAGAGTGGTGATGTTGGTTGGAACATCACGTCATCCATCTCAGGCATCGTCTCCCTCCCAACCATCAGTGTACCAGCCTCTGAAATCCCAACTCTGCCCTTTCCGACAGCCTCAACCGAGGTTCTCAGCACTATTGCTAGCGAAAGTGTTGTCCAGAGCGGTGACATGACGGGCTCTGGGCCTGGGAGTACTGGAACCGTTACATCCTTCTCGAGTCCTGTGGCTGCAACTTCAACGTCCGGCGCCTCCAACGGCCCCGCGTCACCAAGTAGTAACGCAACAACAACAACTGGCGTTCCCGAGTTCCCTGCCGCCAACTTCACCCACGTTACACGCACCGCAGCCATCTCGCAAGAAACATGCTACACCCTCCCCAACCCAGGCGGTGATTGGACCCGTCGAGCGTTGCTGTACAACGCGAGACTTCGAGAGAACAACGTCTCAATCCCCATTCCGTACATTGAATCTGTTGAGTTTGAGAAAGATGGCATTAATCCGCTGTATCTCACTGTTCGCGATGAACAAGGCGGGATCTACTATGTCGACATTTCTCATCGGGGCAGGCTTTCGGTCGTTGATCCTAATGGGTACTTGGTCACGCTTGATGCTAAGGGGATTCACTTCTCGGGGAGTAACTGCACGTACGACATATCGATCTCGATTGACGATATGTACGAGCAGATTGCCGACTTGGCGGGTGTACAATGTGCTGCACTCAAACGCAAGCGCGCCGAGGACTTGGACTTCAGTCAGGTTCTGTACCTGCATGACCAATGCGGGAACCCCGTTGACAGGTCGGTCAGGCAGTATCCTCAGCTTCTTGTAGGCGATACAGTCTGTGCAGATGTCGCTGTTGATGATGAAACTGGTCGCTGGGACTTTGAGTGTACGTTCCCGGGATCTGAGTCTGGCTCGTTGAGATGTCAGTTGGCTATCAAGAATAAGATCGTCGACTTCATCAGCACAGATCCATTTGGTGGTGCATGTCCAGACTTGTCCACTGTCGTCACCACGCTTGAAGAATCAGGACAGGATATCGTTGACCCTGAACAGCTTCGCAAAGATCTTGCCAATCAGGGTCTGACCAGCGACAGAGCCAAGCAAGAGGCTGATGCAGCTGTGGTTGCGTACACCCAGCTCTGGCAGGCTCTTGGAGCAATCTTCACCAAGAACACAGAGACTTCACAGGGTGCGTTGGAAGATTACATCGACGTATACAACACCCACCGAAGTTTCGAAAACGACATCTGTCAATCCCTCCACGAAGGCGAAATCCCCCTCAACCTAACCCTCATCGCCGGCGCAACAAGCATACCCGCCATAACAACCCTCAACTGGGCCCCCGAGACAACAAAACCCTACAACATCACAGTCCAAGACTCATCACGCATCGCCTGTTGTCCCAATAGCGCAGTCGCAGAGGGAGAAGGCGCTACATGTTCGTATCCCCGCGACGCCATCATCCCCGGCACAGGGTGCGTCTGCGGTAAGAGTGCGGCAGGTGTAGGGATTGCGTTTGAATGGACGGAGTGTACGAATTACAAGGGGGGCTGTGAAGCTGATGGGGATTGCGGGGATGGGTATTTGTGCCTGACGGGAAGTTGTTGTGGTGGGGGTGTTTGTGTTGATGCGTTTGCTTGTTCAGAGAATGGGACGGATTTAGTGCAGCAGTTCGATGGAGGGTTTTAGGGTAGATTGTGTATATTATTGACAGAGCAATCAGCCACGCGATGAGGAGTAATTCGTTGGATATTCTTATCTAGACATCGTCGACTTGTTCGGGGAATTTACTTAATGTGTCGATTAACTTTCAACATTTAACTGACGGTGCAAAGTGAATTGGTTGTGGCAAAAATGTTATCTGGAAGTTGATCATAGTCTCATGTTGGCTCATCAAGTTCACCATAACGAACTACTAGCACTTCAATCACAGCACATTACCATGAAAATTCAAGCACAAGAACAGACGGCTTTAGACCTGATCCCAGAGAAATAAATGACATCAAAAGCCACGGCCAATTTCACCAGCGATATGAATCTGACAACAGATTACGCAATGAGATCACTTCAAAGCACTTCTACAACAGGTCATTGGAAGCGACGTGACACTCGGTCATATACATTCAACATGAAAGCCACTACAGTCACATCAATCACACACAGCAAAGAAAGGAGCAAGCAGATGTTTGTCAATGACGTGTGGACATCAAACGTCGTCCGATTGAATTTTGGAATCTCTTAGACTCATAATCCCAAAGGTATTCATCCCATCCGTTATTTTTTGAATGATGCTATCATAACCGGACTCCATCCCAAGACAAGCCATATCAACCCATTTAAGCCTTAGCGGCAGTAGGGACGATCTTCTTGCCGTCCTTGTTGTAGCGGACGCGAGGGGGAGGGGCACGGTTGCGTCGGCCAACGACGGATCGGACACTGTAATATCCTGGTCAGCTTCAAGGGTCTGGGGCAGAAACGTACTGGGAGTGTGGGCATCAACTGCGCAGCAGGCTGGGAGTGTGTATGGTTTCAAAAAGTACTCCAAGGCTCATCTGAAGCACATACGCAACCAGGGCGCAGTTGTCACACTCCCGGGGAGGACAACGTACCGGACAATCTTGCCGTGAATGGCGCAAGAGACGCAGTACTGCAGCTTCAGGTACATCTTGGGCACGGTGTACTCCGCGAAGACGGAGGCATCCGAGATGTCACCTGTGAATTAAATGTAAGCGAACATGACCGAGCGAAGCGAGGAGTCAAGAAGACGTACGAATAGCAGCAGACTCAACCATGTTGCGGATGGTGAATCTCTTGATCGCCTTGTCCTTTGGGGTGCATCGCGAGCAGTTGCTGCATCGGATGGGCTTGACGTGGCCGCGGCCCTTCTTGTTTCGGCCGCTGCAAAAAAGCTTGTTAGCAACTTGTTCAAAGTGTCAAGGTTGAGCCGTTCAATCGTTGTCGAGCATCATCGCGACAGTGGCTGTTGTTTCGTCTGCGTCGGCGATGATGGTGTGCGATGCGATTGCAGGCGGGGGGAGGAGGGAAGTCGTACTTGTTCTTTCTCTTCTTGACCATTTTGACGGTTGCTGCTGATATAAATATTCAGGTCCACGCAAGTGAAGAGAAAAGGAAAAGAAGAAGAAGAGGCGCTCTTGAAATGTGCGTTTAGTCGATTGACGTTGAGGGCCAGTCCACTTTTTTCCGGGTCGGTTTGGTGGGCAGTAGGGCAAATCTCAAAGCGTGGCCTGCAGAGACGGCTGAGGTCAGCGGATCCACCGCACCAAAAAGTGAAAACCCTGAATCATGTGATCAGACTCCACTGGATGGACTGGTTGTAATTTCTGAACGGGCGCTGCCCTCCACCAAAAGTCGATCTTCTTCAACCCCAATTCGCACCATCTGAGGATTGCTTAGGAAGGCAATAGTTCTTATTGTCGAGGTACGTCTGAAAGATGCTGCAAATACCCGTCTCTGTGAGGGCTTCATTGCCTTTCACTTGAGAATTGCTCTTTTGTTCTTTTCGAATTCGCAATTCTCTGCGCGCACACTCGACGCTTTTTATCGACTTTGAGCCTTCTTTTTCGTTCATCTTCGAAGAAAGACTAGAGTCGTCGCACAAAAAAACGAGACAACTCTCCGCCCGAGGCAGCCGGGAAACATGCTTCACACTTCGGAACCTCGATTCTAACCGTCTCAGTTAGGCAAGATGCAGATTTTCGTCAAGACCCTCACGGGGAAGACGATCACCCTTGAGGTGGAGTCTTCCGACACCATCGACAACGTCAAGTCCAAGATCCAGGACAAGGAGGGCATCCCCCCTGACCAGCAGCGCCTCATCTTTGCTGGCAAGCAGCTCGAGGATGGCCGCACCCTGAGCGACTACAACATCCAGAAGGAGTCCACCCTCCACCTGGTCCTCCGCCTCCGTGGTGGTATGGCCAAGAAGCGCAAGAAGAAGGTCTACACCACCCCCAAGAAGATCAAGCACAAGCGCAAGAAGACCAAGCTGGCTGTCCTCAAGTACTACAAGGTCGACTCTGACGGTAAGATCGAGCGACTTCGACGCGAGTGCCCCAGCGACACCGTAAGTTTCCCTGCAACCCATGATTTGTATGGACTGAAAACTGACTGACTCTTTCAGTGCGGCGCTGGTGTCTTCATGGCTGCCATGCAGGACCGCCAGTACTGTGGTCGCTGCCACCTCACCTACGTCTTCGACAAGCAATAAATGCATGACCAAGGGACTTGAATTGGGAATTGATGACGGATCGGATTGGGTGCCAAAAATGGGCGTTGACGGGCTTTTGTAGCATAAAGCACATCCGGTTTCTGAGATAATGCATGCTTGATTGAGACGACAAACTTGTTAAATCACACAACCTGTTCTCCCCAGTGACTTTGCTTGTTTCTGACCATGTTTGTCTGTTCGTCATGGTGATTTGCCACTTAAATCTGCACCAGAATTCGCCATCTGGGATGCACTCTGTGCGCCCTCATTGACCTACCTACTCTACAACACCCCAAATTCATTGCAAAAGTGTCAAGACCCTTGTAATCGCTCATTCATATCAGTCCTTATCAGTTGAATTTCGCAGCCTCGCATGAATTTCTTGGTGTCCACTGGTGAAATTTTCATCTCGCCAGAGCCTCGTTTGCCCTGGTGGGGCATGTCATCAACACCAAGCGATCCGACAAGGATGAGTCGAGACCACAGCAGAAGGTCTCAGATAGCATACGGTCGTTACAATGAATGTCCCTCATTTGGTTGCTCTATTCGGTCTGTCTGTTTTGTGCACGACCGACTATGATGTCTTCATCAATACCATGATTGGCATACACACACAACTGTCCAAGCCCTTCATTCACACTCCCAATCACGGCAAATGTAGTCTTCAGTGAATTTGCATGTTTTTGTAAACAAAGGGTATGAGTTTTCCCTCGTAGTGAAAAACAGTCTTTTACAATCAAGCCAAATGCCCTCAAACGCCCAAAAGCCATAAGCCAGAGATCAAGATCCTACAAAAACTCCTCAAACAGTTGCGCAAGGGCCCTGGAAGCAAAAGTCTCCCGCACCATCCATCGCTTTTCGCCATCTGAAGGGAGGGCGGCGCTTCTGTTGGAGCGAGCCGTGTGAGACTCCGCGCGAGGGCGTTTTGCTGGGGCGGGAGACGTTGACCAGAGTCCGACTTGCCCTTGCGCAACGTCTATCATGACTGAAGATGCATCTCCCATTATCCGTGTTCCTGGAACGCTCTGCCGGGGGCGACAGCATAAACCAGACGCTCTCAAACAATAGGAAGAGCTCTACTCGTCATCCGCAGCCTTGGACTTTCTCTTCTTCTTCTTTTTCTTCTCGCCGTCTTCCTTCACAGGCTCGGCATCCTCCTCGTCCCTCTTTCGCTTCTCCTTCTTGTCCTTCTTCTCTTTCTTTTCCTTCTTCTCCTTCTTGTCTTTCTTGGACTTCTTGGTCTCAGGCTCAGGAGCGTCAGCCATCTCCTCGTCGGAGCCAGCATTGTCACCGTCGTCAAGGAGGTCCATAACGCCCTTCTGTAAAATAGTTAGCATCGATCAGCCATTGCGATTCGAATACACATACCATGACATCGGTGTTCTTGGCGGGCTTCTTGCCAGTGGCGTAGAACTCTAATCGGTCCTCGACCTGCTGCTTGAGAGCCTCACCGAAGCGGGTTGAGGGCTCCTCGGAGAAGTTGTCGATACGGCTGGCCATACTGCACTTGTTGGCGAGGTATCGAGAGATGCGACCCTTGTTCTTGGGACCAGCCTTGCCAATGAAGCTGCTGTGGTAGATGAGACCGTACTTGGGGGTGTTGCTCTTGGTCTTGAGAGCACGGAAAAGAGCCTTCTCGGCACCGAGAATCTGAAGAGTAGAGGCAGGGTACTTGGAGAGGTTGGTCAGAGAACCAGCGTGAGAGATGAGGCGGGCGGCAACGGGAGTGCCAATGAGAGTCTGCAGGTTGGGGGCGATGTCGGACATCTTCTTCTCGAGGTAGGCGGAGGTGGACTTGCGGTTGTCGGCCTGCTTGACAACAGCCTCAGCGAAGCCGTGGACAATCTCGAGGTCAGCAGGAGAGATGTCGAGACCCATGGAGACCTTGGCGGCGTCAATGATGGCCTGGGCCTTCTCACCATCCTCACCAACGAGAGCGGCAATGTCGTGGAGCTTATCATCGTTCAAGCTCTTCTTGTCGCCAATGGCCAGAACAAGCTTGCAGTAGGTGTAGTTGTCGGAGACAATCTTGACCAGCTCAGGGAAGTGCCATCCGTACCACTCGCGAACGCGCATGAAAAACTGGTTGACGCCCTTGTCCTGGAAGTCGATGGTCGCGCTAGCCTGGATGATGTGGTTGTCGTTGCGGGTGACGCTGAACTTGACCTTGGCACGGGAGTAGGCGTGGCCCATACCCAGACCGGCCTTCTCAACATCGCCGTACTTGAGTCCGCCGAGAAGCTTGTCGGCGTGGAGTCGGATACCGCGAATAACGTCGCCGACAATGTCAGAGGTATCGGCAGTCTCGCACTCGAGGCCGGGGAAGAGGCCCTTGATCGCGCCAGCAAGATTCTTCTCGGAAACACCAAGGACAACCTTGGTCTTCTTGCCGCTGGTCTGGGGGAGGTTGAGTTCGAGGACAGACTTGAGGTAGTCCGAGACGATACCCTCAGTGACGAGGTTAATGTTCTCAAGAGCCTCGACGTGGCCCCTTTTTTGAAGTGTCAGTTATCGCGCATTCATCGGCATCGCACGTCCGAGATTGAAATACCTGAAAGGGCTGAAGTTGGCCAGCTTGACCATCTTGCCGAACTTGGCGAGGTCGTTGACGGCGGCCTGAGTCTCCTTCAATTTCAGGCCCACCGCATCCTGCTGATGCACCACCTTGAAGAGGGCATAGCCCACGGGGGATTCGTATAGAGCGTAGTCGATGTGCGACATCTTGTCGTTCCCTGCCGGTGCCGCAATTGGGAATGATTCCGCGTCGAATGGGTTTGGTGATGGCTCGAGGCTTAAGATTTTCACACTTTTTTTCCAGGTGGAAATTTTCTGGCAGCTTGCGCACGGACCAGCTGAGGCTGGTGTGGCTAGTGATTGGTCACGTGGATGTCTGTCCAGCATCGATTGATGAGACATTATGAGATAAGGCATGCATGAGTATTTGTACATTTAATACTGTGTCTTGATTGATTCTTCTTGAGGCCGTAATTTATTCATACTGTTCGTTTACTTGTGTTATGTTGTTTCATGTAAGTGAGTGTTCAGTCAACACCAACGCTCATCTTACTCCTTGACCCACCAAGTCCACTTCGCCTCAATTGTTCGGAAACCCATTTCGCAAGTTATCATACTTGGTCGCAGGATACTCAATGCAATTATCCTGCCTCATGAGCGCACCCTGTCCACCAAACCCATTCACAACAGTCGTGATCAAGCTCTGATCGCCAGTCTTGTCCGCACTGCTCTCCCACCACATTGCACCACCGAGCTTCCACTTCTTGACATACTCGGCCTTGTCCCAGGCAACTCGCGGCGTGTCGTATGTGACCATGGTTCGTGTCTGGGGATTGTAGCAGTAGCTTGCGCAGCACGCTCTGTCCCCATACTCTGTAGCACCCTCGAGGGGAAGTTTCTTGTAGTCATGGACACCAGCCTCCCAGGTTCCTTCACCGGTGCCCTGGTAGGGTCGGCCTGGGCCGTCGGTGTTCTGGAAAGCTCGGCCGTAGAGGGGCATGCCGAGAACGATCTTCCCGGGGGATACGCCGCTGCGAACATAGAAGTCAATGGCGGCGGATGTAGAGAAGGGTGTTGATTGGGGGTTGTCGGGAGATGGGTATAGATTCGCCTGGTGGCCAGCAACAGAGTCCCAAGATCCAGCATAATCATAGGCCATGAGGTTCCAGAAATCAAGATATCGATCCATGCCACGGATGTCAAGCTTCTGAAAGTTTGTCGCGCCAGCAGGGCAAGCAACAGTCAGTTCGAAATGATAAGGCTGGCTCAAAGTCTGGGCATAAGCATCCATCTCACGTCGAACAGCACCTAGCAGCTCAACATAATCTCTGGCCTCATCTGCATTCTGAGGGTACTCCCAATCAATGTCGATACCGTCAAATCCGAGGTTCTTGATAAGGTCAACGCAGCTCTTGGCGAAGGTATCGCGTCCTTGGGGCGTGCTGGCAGGAGCCTTGAAGTTGCTGCTGTAGGTCCATCCTCCAACACTGAGAAGAATCTTGAGGTTGCGGTTGCGGCGCTTGAGGAGGTTAAGCTGCTTCATGCAGCCATATAAATTGGTGCCTTGGTCATTCCAGGAGTCGCCGTCCCAGTGAATGTCGGTATCGGCCCATGAGTCGGTGAGATGGCTGATCATGTTAGCGGGGCTACATTGAGACGAGAGTTGGAGGTGACTTACACTTCGCCAGAGTCGCTTCGGACATTAGCGAATGAATAGAGAACGTGTGTGAGGTTCTCGACGGGGAGATCTTGAGGACGATGCTGTCGGGCATAAATGGCCCTGTTCTCATTAGCTGAGTTCAATGTCTTGGTGCAGGGTAGTTTCGTACCAGTTGACAAAGTAAGCGACGGTGCGGAAACCTTCAGGACCACCACCCATTTTGACTGAAGTAGTAGACGTAAAAGTACTTGATAGAAATACTGCGATCAAGGCAGTGAGAACAGAGGTTATAAGAAGGACACTTGACCAGGTACAATGCCCAGCTCGTTGTCTCTGTGGAATATCCGTGATGATGGAGGGGCACTAGAGGGGCTGAATGTGGGGAATCACTTCAGCTGCAAAGAACAAGTGAATAGCGAAGCGAATTGATGAGGTTTTGAGGATGTAGCAAACAAATAGCCAGATATAAGAAACGTGGAGGCATCCAAGCCTCTTACTCAGCAGTTCACTGACCAGTTTCAGCTCTTCATGTCCAACTTCCAATCCATGTTTTTGCGTCGTCATCTGCGGCTTGACTTGGTTTGGGGCCAAGAGTGGCGGTGCTAAATCGTGGCAATGCTGCGGTGTACCTGGCTAGAGGTAAGAATTCGATACCGAGCGACAGAAATAATCCGGTAATTGTAGGCCAAGACGCGGGTGAGTCTGACAGTTTATTTTTAGTATCCAGGCTCTGCTTCCCCAGTCCTTTTTCGCGCCCTGAAATCTGGGCAGCTGGGGTGGCTGCATGAGCTAGACAACGCACCAGACGACGGGACTGAACGGCATTGGCAGCTTGGCGGATCAGTCTTTGAATAGCTCCAATTTGAATTGTCAAAGAAAGACGCAAGTTGTGATACTGAATCTTTGTGCCTCTATGTGAACAGTTGTAACCTCATTGAACATTCCTGTGCCAGGGTATCAAAACACAAACAAGAAATCCTCATTCTCCAAATCCGTGATATCACCAAAGCCTTTATCTTCATCCTTCCGATCCGCCCTTTCCCCTTCCAAATCTCCCCCTTCGGCAACCCTACCATCCTCGCCCTCTTCTGCCTCACGTAGTACCCCTCCACGCAATGATCTCTCCATGTGCTCTATCCTCTCCGCTTCTTCCGCCGTCTCCAGACTCCGATCCACCAGCACCGCACTTTTTCCGAGCGCGACTCGGCGTTGGCTGTGAAGGCGGTTCAATCGAGCGAGGTGCAGAGAGGTGAGCACCACGAGAGCGATGACGACGATGTAGAGTGCGAGGTTGGACCGAAGACCACGGGTGTAGGCTGGTGCTTCGTCAGGGGAGTAGAGGAGAGGGCCGACGATGTTGCCGGCTGAGGCGCTGATGAAAATGAGTGCTGATGTGGACTTGCGCTTTGTGTCGCCCGCTGTGTTTTGTGATGACCATGAATAAATCAAGGGTGCTGAATACTGTTAGACGAATTGTGATAAGAGATGAGAGGATACTTACTGATACCAGTGTATGTGCACAAACAGAAATAGCCAGCCAGCAAGACCCCTTTGTTCTCAAGATTATGCTCAAAGTGTAACATAATGGCACACCCAACGATGGGAGGTACACACAGCATAACAATGACCGGGCCCTTGAGCTTCCACTTCATGGCGATATAAGCACTCGCCGACACAGCGATGATGTGCGAAACCCCAACAGGTACATTGAACAACATCGTCTCAAAGGGATCCGACACAAATGACTTGATGATCAGAGGCCCGAAAGTCGAGATGCCATTTGAAGGTACGGATATGCAAAAGATCATGGCAACCCAGCACCATGTCTTGAGGTCTTTTAAAGTCTCAACGACATGGGACATCCTCCACTCGCGTGACATGACACCCATCTGGTTGTTGCGAAGACGCTCGATTGCAATGATCTTGTCTTCGTCAGTGAGAAACTTGGCCTCGGTGGGTGAATCGGGCATCCAGAAGAACATGACGAAGGAGACTCCGACTGTGATGGCGCCGAAGAAGAGGAAGATGATCTACCGGTGTTAGTCTAGAGATATATAACAGAGGCAGTGGAATGTACCTGATAGGGCTTCATCTTGGAATCAATACGTGCAAGTCCATAAGTAATGAGACTCCCAAGCTGTCAAATATTAGCTCAGACCATCAATCAAGAACATCGTACTCACCACCCACGTCAATCCATTCATACAATACCATGATCCAATCCGCAAAGTCTGCTCTCTTCAAACCATCAGTACCATCTCACACCACCACTCATCAAACATACCTTCTCCTCCACCACATCTGCGTAATCGCAATGAAGCTCGGCCCAATGCTAGCCTCAAACGCACCCAGAAAGAACCTCGCAACCATCAACGTCTTGAAATTACTCGCCCAAGTCATGAGAACAAGCGTGACTCCCCACGCCAGAACCATGGCGCTCGTGAGTTTTCCAATGGGTAACTTGACCAGCGCGAGGGCGAGAGGCGGCTGCATTATTAATTGCGCAAGGTAAACGATACTGCCGAGCCATGAGTACTGATCGCCTTCGAGATTGGTGTCTTCAATAAGGCCAAATATTGAGGCATATGATAATGTTGCTTTGTCCAAGGCTTGCAGGAAGTATACTGAGAGCATGAGGGGGAGTAACGCAATGTCAATACGCCGCAAAATCCGGGCATCGTCAGCTGGAGAAATGGTGATCTGCTCATCTGGCGAACGGCCCATTTTGATGAGCAGCATAGCCGCTGCATCGCGATGATTCTCGGCTCTGGCCTCTTGTCCCTCCATGGTGTTGGTGTTGTTTTCCGGTTCATCGTTACTTGGGAGGGGTTGGTACTCTCCGCGGGACGACATGGCGGCGGCATACGCCCGGTTGAAAAACCTTGACAACATGGCTGCTCCAACCCCGATGGGCGAGTCTTTTTTGTTGACAAAAGTTTGTTCTGTTTGTTTGGGTCTCTTATCGCAGGATATCGTGTAAGATGGTTTGGTGGAACGACGAGTGACGTCGGTGTGGCTGTGGCTTGGGGAGTGTGGCCCCTGCAGGGTCTACAGGTTATGGCGTGCTGGACCCTGTAATTCGGACCAACTACGAAAGGCGTGTGCTGATTAGTAGGGACCATTGGTCAAATTGACGCGCTCTCAGGGAGTAGTAGGGGAAAGAAAACTCAGGACCTTGACCCTAAGTGATGAAAATATTTAGGTAAATCTACCCTAAACTTGGGGGACTCTTCAGTAAGTCTAGGATGTCTTTTGCTGAGTTTATTTTGACACCGTATGTCAAGGTCTGGAGTTTTCTTGCTCCCTGTGGCGTCTTAGGTTTTCTTGCCTCCACGACTCAGACCCATTCAAGTGAATCAGTTTATATACGGAGGTATTCGTAGAATCTTATCATCCATGGATAGATTGACGTGTTCCTTCAGATCCCACTGGCTGACTGGCAACTGAAACCCTGACCCTTAGATTCCGATAAAGCACATTTGATGTCCTGAATCGGAAAAGTTCATCCGGTGGGCTTGTTACGCCATCTCGAAGACAATGTGTTTCT